CCCCTCACAGGTACATTTTTTATAGTCAGTCAGTTTATATGGCAGCTTTATGCTATGCTGATCCGATCTATTCCATTTCTTTGCAGATTTCGCCAATGCCTTAGGCGATATTATATGCCAAGATATCTCGTCATATGTAAAAGCTTTCCATACAAGCACTTTATTCTGATCGTTCAGTTTGTATGGCAACTATATGCTATAGTGCTCCGAACTGAGCAATATAATCGAAAATTGTAGCAATGCCTTAAATAATAATCTGTGCCAAATATTGTGAAGATACCTTGTCAAATTTGAAAGTTCACCATACAAGAACTTGAGTTTTATCGACCAGTTTGCATGACAACTAAATGCTATAGTTGTCCGATATAAGTACATAAGCGGTTTATACAAATTAGCAGCTTTTGGTGGGAAGAGAAAGTGTACACAATTTCAGATCGATATTTCAAAAACTGAGGGACTAGATCGCGTTTATGCATTGCTAAATGGACTTAGCTTGTCGTTTCTTTTTGGGTGTTACAAAAATAGTGGCAAACTTAATATACCCTGTTCACTATAATGTAATACTTTCAAGACAAGAGAATTCAACTTTGTTAATCGAGCGTAATTAATAAATCAATTGACGCGTTGTGTAATTATCATTGTATGTACCTACGTTAGCTTGCACTGAGCAATGCGATACAGATTTTGATAAATATATTTTTGCGTTCCTCTTAGTGGTGATAAAGCGGTCGCAAACAGCTATGCAAAAGCGAACTAATAACTGCGATTGCTGTACATACGCGTACAAGTAAGTTATTAATAGATACTGCTTTTGTTTCGTTGGTTAAGTAGCTGCCTGGCGCCGGAGGCAGGACGCCAGCTTGCCTCCGTGTCTCACTGTATTTATCCTATAATAATATTCAATATTATCTGCATTTATTTCACTTCCATTCTTTCTGTTATCGTTCACTACTATTGTTAGTTGTTGCCACCTTTGTGCCATGATTGTTTTGGTTGCTGTGCACGTCTGGAAAACGGTATAAACGAGCACAACTGGAAACACGTTTTCGGTACCGAGACGACAAATGACGACGAAGAAGTGATTGGGGTGATTAAGAAGAGCGCGAAGTGCGTAAACAGAAAGATGCGATATAAAATGGGAAATAATCATCGTATGGTCTGTTGGCGCGAGTGTTGAAATAGATTTTTATTTTTATATGTGTGTATGAACCTACATAGTTGCCGTTATTTACATATGTGTTACAATTCAATTAAGCCATGCGTAACTTCTGCAGCCGAAACGAGAGTTTCAGTGTTTATATACCCTGAACAGGGTATATTAAGTTTGCCATGAACCTTGTAACACCCAATAGGAAACGTCGGAGACCCTATAAAATATATACGTAAATGATCAGCATGATGAACGGAGTTGATTAAGTCATGTCCGTCTGTCTGTAAATATGCAAACTAATCCCTCAGAAATATCGATCTGAAATTTTGAGCCTGTCCTTTTCTCACTAAGGAGCTGCTTGTTTTGCCGTGATTTAAGCAAAGAAATACGCCGCGAAAACAGAGTGAGAAATAGCTTTAATTTCGTTCCACAAGTAGCTGTTGTTGCTTTTGGCAATCAACGTGTGGTATTTTAATTTTTTTATGCACTTGCTTGCAGTAACAAATATAAAATTATTGACATCCATGCACATACCTATACAGACATTCGATATCAATTTATTTTTCACTGCTGCCAATTTCAATTTTTGTTTCAAATTATCCAGTTTCACATACATACACAAATATGCTTACGTGTAAATCAATACATACATAATATGTACATAGCTTGTCAGTATATCCTTCTATGTACCTATTAACTATCATGCTACAAGTTTTGCGGTTTCACTTTATCATGCATAAATTATAGAATTCACATTTGGTTGTTATGCTTGTGGTTGAAGGCCACACTTGCTCGCTGTTAAATCATCCGCATATACATACACACATTCAAACGTGTAATGTATGTATTTATGCGTTTAAGGTACGCATTCAAATGATAATTTAGTTAGGGAGTAAGTGTACAGGTTATATTTGGTAACTAATTAAGCGTTAAGTAGGGAAATGATAGGCGTTCCATAGCTTCATACTGCTACAGCTACATATGTACATATGTGGATACATACATGCATGTATGTATAAGTATGTATGTACATATGTATAAATGTTAATTTAGGTTTGAACTTACTTGTAAACATCACACCTAATAGTTCGCATATAAAATTATAACCTAAAATTTAATCAAACATTTTCATTGAAAACCATATTTTGTTATTCAAACATAAACTTTGAAATAATTCGTCTACTTATCGATACCAGGGAAACCATTTTTCAATTAGGGTATTCACAAGGTGTCATATTGTGTCATATCGTCATATTGTCTTATTTTTTTATGACTGTCATATCAACACTGTTGTTGTTTGTTAATATGGAAGGAAGCCACGATATTCAGGCAAATTAAGTTAAAGAAAAGTGAAATATTGTGGTTGCAATGTAAACCCAAATGCCGGCGGTTCAACATAAAGAAGCTTCAATTTTATTTTTGTCACTTTCTTATGGCATTTTTGTATTCCTTATTTTTCACTACCAGCTGGTGAAGTGAAGAAATATTACAGAATATGACATACAACAATTAAGGGGTGCTCACAAGTGTCGTATTTTTTAAGACAATTGAAATACGACATAAGACATAAGACGAAGCTTGTGAATTGCCCAAATATATAATAATCTAATTTTTAATCCAAGTTGTTTGGGATGAAAAATTCAAAATTTCATCTAAATTTTAATCCATTATGTTTGAGATTAGAAATAAATTTTTAAATTTGGCAAAATGTTTAAGATAAAAAATTGAAAAGTCTTAGATTAAAAACTAAAATCGATTTTTAATTTTCAAATATTGGATTTACATTTTAAATTTTTAACCTCAAAATCAGAACTGAGAATTAATAAACATATAAAATATATAATTTGAATGTGTAAGTTTGCCGACCAGTTCACTATAATATTGAACATACATTTGAAATGGTAGCACACCAAGGACGGAAACACGAAAAATTTTAATTTTAAAACAATTTCTTTTTTATTTCTTAATTATATGCTTAGGATTAAATTTTTTTTCAAACCGCTATTTAGGATTAAAAATTACAAATAAATTATCCAGTAAATTTTTAATCTAGGTTTGGGGACTCGATTTTTTTCGATCCCGTATTTGAATCTTTTTTTTTCATTTTTTAATGGAGTTATATGGGACTAACTTTTTTTCTATTTTTTAATCTCTTTTTTGAAAGTACACAAAACATAATAATTTAAATGTTAATTCAATTATTATACTCTCGCATGCTGTTGCTACAGAGTATAATAGTTTTTTTCACCTAACGGTTATTTGTAACGGTTATTGTATCCTAAAAGTAATCGATTTAGATATACCGTTATCTATATATAAATGATCAGGATGAAGAGACGAGTTGAAATCCGGGTGACTGTCTGTCCGTCCGTCCGTCTGTGCAACCTGTAACTTGAGTAAAAATAGAGATATCTCTAAATTTCGTACACATGTTTCTTGGTACCGTGAGACGATTGGTATTGCAGATGGGCGTAATCGGACCACTGCCGCGCCCACAAAACGCCATTAATCAAAAACAAATAAATTGCGATAACTAACCTCCACAATAAGATAAAATACTGGTATTTGGTATACAGGGTCAAATTAGAGAGGGACATCTGCAGTTTAAAACGTTTTTAAAAAGTGGGCCTGGTCCCGCCCGTAATAGGCTTAATGTGCATATCTCCTAAACCGCTAAGGTTATAATAACAAAATTCACTGAGGACAAATGCTTTTATCACCTCTATCCACAGTGTGAAAACGGATGAAATCGAGTGACAACTCCACCCACTCCCCATATAAAGGTACTGTTAAAAACTACTAAAAGCGCGATAAATCAAGCACTAAACACGCCAGAGAAACATTACATTTTATCTATACGATGGTATGAGAATCAGATCAATACTTCCTATAGCCCTCATATACCCAATATAATGATTTTTGAACTTACCGCTGACTTTATACCGCATATATCGGCCAATATGTGAGTTACCTCAATGAAAATGAGCGAGTTTTACTCATAACAAGGTATCTTTGTGTCTAAAATGGATGAAATCGTGTGAAAATTTTACCTAGCTCCAATGTAACTAATATCAGGATTTTCGAACATTCGTCTGACTATACTTCATATGATTAGTGATGGTATGTGATTTACCTTAATGAAGCAGTGGGAGAATTTTATTAGTCTGTGGCATGTTCATCGGGTTAATACTAACCTCAAATTCCATATACTACTTAGCATTATAAGTTATTCGTTATTCTCACCAGTTTTATTCCGCATATGTCGGTCAGTGAGTATTAATATTTTTTTTCTCAAACGAGTATGTCATTTGACTGTGCGAGAGTATAAAATATTCGGTTATGTCCGAACTTGCCCTTCCTTACATGTTTTTTAAAAAAAGGTATGTATTTTACGTGGTAATGGCTTGTGGTGATCTATAGGACGGTACTGTTGATTTCAATAAGCAATAATTAAATATTTTTTCAATACCACGCAGTCTTTTCAAAGTTAAGCTGGGTGCTAGTATCTCGCCCAAGCCACCCAAACCCTTACGGAGAATTTTCACAGTCTGTCCCTATCCCGACAAATTCGTTAAAGTGCCGCTAACTTCATATTACTCCATATTCATTTATTTCAAATTAATTAATTATCAAAATCAAATATCAACTATGACTAAATAAATATGTACTAACCACTTTACAGTAAAATAAGTCAGTTTTCATAATTCCTTTTGATCCGTTAATTATCAATCATTTACTGGGTTATTACAATTACATTTTTATGAGCTGATAACGTGAACATTTAAGCTCAACACTATTTAGTAAATAATCTGATGATCAGCTCCATTCATTATTTTCTTTCCCTCGATAGGCAGGCATATATTGTACATCCATACACACAAATGTGTTAAATAAAGTGGAAGAAGAAGCAGGCGAAGAAGTTGATTCGTTATGTTCATTTGGTGTAGCTGTTTAACGAAAAGGAATAAGGTAAAGTTGAAATGTGATTATTTTTTCCAACTACCTTCATTTGTATGTAGATATGTATATACGCAGGAGTGTATTTTTACTGTTGTTGTATATGCATGTATATAATTATAAATTTGAAGTGTGCTCAGGCATCTACTTTAGTACATACATTGTGTGTATGTGTGGCGATTTGTGCGCGCTGTTTGAGAATTGCATGTCATTTTCGCTTCGTTGGCCGCAAGTCGCGTTAAGCGTCAATCATTAAGTATTTGATTTGCAATAATGAAAATGAAATCGAAACCATAGGCGCAGAGAAGACTAAGCTGGCAGCAAATATTTTCATAAATATGCATGGGTATGTGTGTGGATATAAACAACAAAGTGTAGTAAATTTATGTTTATTGTTTTGCATTTAAAACTTGCAATTTTTATGTAAGCAAACGCGTACATACATACATTTATATATATTTAAGTATATAGGCACGTAGCACATTCTGTGTGAGTTCCAACCCGATGCAGCTGCTACATACTAGCTGCACACACATACATACATACATATGTATGTTATATTAAAGAAAAAAATCACATATTGCTTGAGTCGATTTCTACCTATGTAGCAATAAAAAACAACAAATGAACAGCAGCAAAAAATAACTGAAGCGGAGCAGAAACGCCCGCAACAGCTTAACAAAAACAGCAAACAAAGCAATGCACAAATTCGTTAAAGAAAACAACACAACAAAACTAAGTAAAAAAATAATAAAAAACAAAAAAACTTAGCTTCGAGTTGCACATCTGAAGTTCAAAGGTAGTTAGGAACTTGTTTAGAGTTGCCATGTGCATACATTTAAACTGATAGTATGTGTATGTTTATAGTATGCACACATATGTATATATGTACGAGCAAGTAATAGAGTAAAACAGTTGAGTAAATATCCCTTCATATAGAAGTAGATACAGACACACTTGGAGGTCACTTCGACTGTTTAATTGTTAGGTGTCACCTTCTAAGCAGACGATCTCGAATTCCGGAAAAGTACAAATATTTTAAATGAAGGCTCATTGTAATTAAATAAATTTTATTGCATCTATTGAATTGAATCTATTGCTCAGAGCTGGATCTCAGGCGACCCTTCAAGCTGCCGGAATTCAGCAGTATCTTTCAGGTGGAAGTCTTTGCGGTAAGTAAAGCGGCTGAGTTAGATAACAACCAAGGGAACAGCATAAAGAAAGTCAACATACATGTAATACGATAGCCAGTCGACAATTAAGAATAATCTCACATCGTATTACATCAGAGATCGTCCTCAGAAGCAGGGAGGCTTAGATGCAGTGGTTGCTGGAAAGCGGTTGCATATATACTGGGTTTCTGTCCACAGACAAATTCCGGGTAACGAAATAGCTGATAAGATTGCCAATAGTGCCAACCGCCAAAGAAATATGTAAGTCGCTAAAAACAATAAATAAAGAAACTACCGAAATGGCATATAGACAGATCAGGGTGAGATAGAATGCCTTGAGGACATACAGGATCGCCAAGAACATGTGCGAAAGCCCTAAAAAAAATTACGCATGCTTTTTACTCACACGTTCTCGAAAGAACTGCAAGACGGTTGTTGGGCTAATGACAGGTCACAACTTACTGATATCGGTCACAACTATCTGAAGTAGGCACCTGGAACAATTCCTAAGCTCCTGAGCAGCCTTATCTAGAATTTGTCTCGGATACCTAGGAGCTTCGCAGCTCAAGAGACTAGATGACGTACTAAAATTAGATATCAACCTTAATAACCTAACCATATTACATATCTGATATTTGGCTTATAAATATTCAAGCCTCAGGCGTTTAATAGGTTCAGTGTCGTTATAGGCATGACATAATATGGATCCTTTATGGAACTCGCCTTAATTAATAATAAAAAAAACCTAAAAAATTTTTAAACTTCTGGGTTTAAATGGAAGGAGACAATACTATTACATATTAATAAAACATTAACATAGCAACGACTACGAAAAGTGATCGCAAATTCTATGTATGGAGCATCCACTCGTTCGGTTCCGTTGAAAATGCAATTGTTTTTAATTATCATCTGTAAAACTAAATATTTATTGTTTCCTTTAAAAACTCCAACAAAATGATCGCTGTCCAAGTGTTCGACTGGAAGTTTACCGTCTTTGTCGTATTCCTCGGTTCTAAAATATTATTTTTGATACTAGAAAAAAATCATTGTTTTTTAGTTTCATATACATATAAAAGGCTCGATCAAGTTGTAAAGGATTTATATAACTTTTGGCTTTCCCTAAAAATGTACATTAAAAGGTTTTGTAACCAATAAAATTAACAAGATTGGAAAATGTTTGTATTTCTCTGGATAATATTATTTGAAAACTTTGTCTGAACTTCAAGGTAATCGATCAAGAATTTCGCGACTTGTGCTTCCTGCCGTGTAAAAAAGTAGTTTTCAGATAAATTATTTTAAACTTTTGTAACTGCTCCGGTTTATGTTTTAAGTAATATCGCATCTGATTTGAGCCCTTGGGTTGCTCCGAACTAAAGTCCACGACTGTCGTTTTAACGATTTTGTGCAGAATTACAATCAAACTTGATTTTTAAGACAAATCACAGAGAGAGGATTTTTTGGAAAAAAATACTGAATATGAAGAAAAATAAACGTACCGGTTGCTTATGACTTATGCTTTGTACTCAAGAAGAAGAAATCGATTGTAAATTGTGTAACTTTATTTGGATAATGTGGGTAAAAGCAATATTAAGAATGGTATAAATCTAAAGCTAATTAATTTGTTTTCACTTAAAGTGAGATTCTGCTAATGATCAGAGATTTTTGACTTTAGCATACTCGTCAACAAATAATAATGAAGTCTTCAGCAGAAACTTAACCTCACAATGATTTAGCTGAAAATTGCCAAATACTCGACAACCAAAACGAAAACATATACGTATATATATAAACAGACTTATAAGTATGTATGTACATACATATGTATAAATGAATGCAAAACGCTCGTAAATCAAAAACAAAGTCATAGTGTGAATAATGAAACAGCAGTAACAAAAAATTTAAGTGCTGAGGTGAATAAACGCTCAAGATAAACTGGTGTCAAAAACGCCCAACAAAAAAGAGACAAAAATCAAAGTACAACAGAGATTTTAACTTATGTTTTCGTAATTTTATAAATAATTTTTAGAAGTTTTTCACTGCAAAATTAACCGCATCTAAACGGTATAGGGTCAAAACAAACTACAACAAAAGTAATAAATAATTGAAATTATGTATGTGCCTACATTGTATATAAACATATAATATTAATTTACAATAGAAACACACTAACGTACATATCTATATATGTACATACATATGTTATGAGGCTCTACTCGTATGGCTATGAATAATTTGTCGATGCCAAAATTTCAATCGCTTCGCCAACAATACAAGAACAATGGCGTGCCCGTTATGCGGTTCGATTAACGCTGCTGCAGCAGAAGCAATGGAAGTGTTAATAAAAATACATAATTACAGACATGCAAGCGCATATGCACAGACACATGCACATATTTGCACATTATTGAATGATTCTTTGTATGTATGCTTGATTGCATGTGTGTGAATCTGTGTTTAGGTGAAGCATATGAGGAGAATAGACACTCGCTGTGCTTGGCTTATTTACTTCAATGCATCAAGAACGACTCCAACAACAAAGCAACCTTCAGTCGAAAAAACTTCGCTACAATGTCCGTGAACTTAAATTTCGGTCAAAAAGTGCAAAATATTTCCAAAACGAAAATAAATTAACATAATTTGAACAACAACAATGAAATTCCATAACAACAATTACCGAAAACACTGGACCGCGCTCACTGCACGGCGGGCGGAAACAAAATTGAGCACGGCTTTTAGTCAGCAAACGCAAAGAAGCTTCAAACTGAGATAGAGAGAGAGAGAGAGAGAGGGAGAGAGATTTAAGAAAATTAAACAAATTATTTGTGAACAAATCAACAACGCATGCACAAAGTTTGTATTCTTTAATTGGCGGTTTGATTGCTTGTTAAATAGACGGCAGTCAAATTATTATGACTTGCATATGAATTTGTACGTAGTCGTTGAAGTATCAATTATTAAAGGTAATTTTAATTACACTATGTCTGAGTTTAATTCTAATACCCTGAACAGGGTATATTAAGTTTGCTACGAAGTTTGTAACACCAAGAAAGAAACGCCGGAGAACATATAACGTAAATGATCAGCATGATGAGCTGAGTTGATTTAGTCATGTCCGTCTGTCTGTCCCTCCGTCCGACTGTATAAACATATGTAAACTAGTCCCTCAGTTTTTAAGCTATCGATCTGAAATTTCACACCTGTCCTTTTTTCACTAACAAGCTACTCATTTGTCGGAACGGCCGATATCGGACCACTATAGCATATAGCTGCCAGATATCTCTTAAAATAAAAAAGTTTTTCATACAAGTACTTAATTTTGATTGTTCAGTTTGTATGGCAGCTATATCGGCGGTTTCGACAAATGAGTAGTTTATTGGAGAGAAAAGAACGTTTGCAAAATTTCAGATCGATATCTTAAAATATAGCGGACTAGTTTGCGTATATACAGACTGATTTACAGACGGACATGGCTAAATCAACTCAGCTCGTCACTCTGATCATTTATGTATATATAACGTCTCCGACGTTTCTTTCAGGGTGTTACAAATATCGTTTCAAATAAACTTGATATACCCTGTTCAGGGTATAAAAAAGTATTCTCTACTGGCTTGAACTATTAAACCAAGCCTTCTTAATAAAAATAGAGTATACAGTCTACCAGCTGAACAAATAACAGAAGGTCGATCTGTTTCAATTCATTACTCCAAAAAATGTGATAATAACTATAATCAATGTCATGAATTACAATATTACTCTTTTTTACTTTTGCGTTTTTTGTTCAAATCATTATCTCCTTTATTGCACATTTATATATACTTAAACCTTACTCAATTTAAATAG